AATGCTCTTGACTCCAACACATAATTAGTGAACCTGTGCTTACTAGGAAGAACAAGCTTTTTAAATCCAATATTCAAATATTTTTACCTTAAATATCATAAATTTTAAAAAAATATATTTCAAAAGCCCTTTGGAATATTGAAAAACGTTACTGGATTCGAACTATAGCATAAAATCCTACAAAAGGACAGGTATAGATCCTTTACAGAAGAAATTACCTCAGCACATGGTATAACAGCTCTTACAGACTCAGGAGCACCAACACAGGAAAGTAAAATTATATCCATCCTCAAATGGACTTGGAAATTTCATTTAGGAGCACTCCAGTGGATTAAAAGCTTGGGGAAAAAGAAAAAAAAAAAAGAAAAAATAATATCACACAATATTATAGAGAGACTGGAGATTTAGGCTTCTACATTTTTGTTAAACCTGATCCCACAAGAATGCCTGACAAAAGGGATTTATTACCCTTAACCTGACATTTAGGATTCTGGAATTTCATTACTTTTTCTCCTGCTCAGCCTTCACATTAAGTAAGGTTAAACAGTCTTGAAGCACTTTTTAAACGCTCTTGTTAGGTACCAGAAAGGGCTGTTTCCTCAAGTGCCAGCTCTTACCTTTAGTGCCTGTTTACAGGAGATCATTGATTTCTGTTAATATCTGATCTGACATCAATGACCTTGGAACAGGCCTGAAGTCATAATGATCCTGAGGCACAGAAGCTGGAAAATAGGAAGGAGGGAGGAGAGCAGGATATCTGAAACCCACAGCCCTTCTCAAGGCTTATCCCTGCCTGACCACAGCTTCCTGCCAAGCTAAATTTGGGATTTCTTTGAAAAAATGTTTCCTGTCATCACCTGCACTGGAAACTGAGCAGCAAATGAAGATTTACAGCAAGTTTTTCCCTGGCCCCTCCCATGGGAGTGGGCACTGGAGGAGGAAGCAGCTGAATTAGGGCTTGGGCATGACAAAGACTTGGCATCATAGTACAGTTGGAATAAAAGACAAGTGGAGAAAAAGACAATGCAAGACAAAAGCTTCTGGGAACACCATTCCACTCTCTGGTTTAACTGGGCAGCAGTGAATTCCAGAGGGAATTCAGAGGCTCTGCAGAGAAAGGCAGCAGTGACCCTTCCGTGTTTCCTGAACCTCTGAAACCCAGATCCCACATAAGCTGGAATTGGAGGTGGATTCAAGCAGAAGTATCTAAAAAAAGACTGAAGGACAGATGTGAGTTTCCTAAGACAGGACATCGAAAGGATGACCACTGCCTCTGGTGTCCTGAAGAGATAAATGTCCATGGGCTGGTCCTGGGGATTAGGTTTCCAACTGGAAAGAATGTTGCAGACCCTGCTGCTCTCAGCTGAGTTGTTTTGCATATCCCAAATGATACACAGCAATTCCTGCTGCACAGGAAGGCCTTGGCAAGGCAAGCACCGGGCTGACTCCATTTGGAGGCCGTGGAAGACACAGTTAAGAAACTTCTGATAAAAGGGGTCAATGTGGGACAAACCAGATTGATTGGAATAAACAGGACCATGGTGGCCTCGTACCGTGGGAGCTTATTTTCCAAAATTTAGGTGTGTGTTAATAAATTGTCACAGCAGTTAAAATGAGGCACATTTAATGCTTCATTTTGTTAAATATATTGCTAAATTAATATATTACTGACCCTTTCTGTGTCAGGACCTGCAGGTGCATGTGGACCAGATCACCGAAATGGCAGCAGTGATGAGAAAGGCCATTGAGATCGATGAGAGGCACGGCTGCAAAGAGCAGGAACGCATCACCCAGCTCGAGGTGAGGGTGGAACACCACTGCAACAGGGAGCAAGGCAGGGAATGGCAGCACAGCTGCTTCTGTGGAGTTCCTCTTGTGTTACACTTCCCTGGTTGGAGTGGTGCAAGTGCCATTTCGCCACTCCAGCTTTCTCTCAAGGTGGGGTGCAGAGGGGAGCCATAACAGAGCAGAAGGGTCAGAAACCTGATGTTCTCAGTTGCAGAAGATAAAGGATTTTAATCCTTTTGCACTAGTTTGGAGTAGAGGGAAGGTTGCTAATGTAATTCCCATGATTTCTTCCTGGAGTCCTGTTAAATGCCTTGTTCTTTCTGGTTTTAGCAAGAAAACAAAGGCTTGAGAGAAATCCTCCAAATCACTAGAGAATCGTTTCTGAACCTCAAGAAAGAGGATGCGTCAGAGAGCACCTCCCTGTCAGGATTAGTGACAAGCAGTGATTTGAGCCTGAGGAAAAGCTAAGGACTGTGGGAACCAGAAAGCCTCAATTGCATACTTTCCCAACGGAGCATCAGGGCTCACTGGTCAAGCACTTGTTCTTGAATAGGGCACCAGCAAGAGGATGTGTCAAACTCCAGCTCAGTGGCTTTTATACTGTGTGAAATAAATTACATTGGTGTGACAGACTCATTGCCATAGGTCTGACTGCAGCAGGAAACAGATTCATGGGAATTCCTTTTATATGAAATCATTTTGCAGATAAAAGGTGAGATTTCAAATAACTTATATAAGTTATTGCTCATGCAAAGTTTCAGTGCAACTATTCTATAAGAAAAGGTAAGATTTCAAGTCCAATCTCCGGCTAAAAAGGAGTAACTTATGAATATGCTTTGTGCACGATCCACATTTTTTCCTTTGGTTTCTTTTTTAATAAATCCTCATTTTGCAACAAACCTGTTTGATTGAAAGGGCACAGAAGCAGAAAAGGCCACACTGGAGAAGGAATAGATGGGACTAAACTTCCTAACTGGGAAATAGCAACTGGATAGCACCCAAGCAGTGGCTGCAGAAAGGTGGGTGGGAGGAGGAGCAGCTCAGGGCAAGGTTGGCAGCCTGCAATTAATATTCTGATTTTCCCTTTCTTCAGTACCAACCAGTCACCAAAAAGGTTTTAAGGTGAGTTAAGCAGAGCTGAACTATTCTGAAATTACCCCTTAGGCAAGTTCGATTTTCAGTGACAACAACACAGAAGGAACTCAGATCCAGCACTTCCAAGGGTGCCAGTTTAAATCCAGCTTCCTGGGCCTCCATTAATTTATATGCAGAAAGGACAGATAAATCAGCTCATTTTCACAGCACATTTTATAAATGGAGAAACTGCTGCTTCTCCTCCCAGAGCACCTTCTAGGCTTAACAACACGCTGAGGACATCCACCTGCATGGAAACAAAGTTAGAACCATTTCCAAACTTGCTCAACATCCAAGGGAAATTTTTGGGGGAACATTTTAGCTCCAGCACAGAATATTCTTGCCTGCTGTTATTTTCTGTAAAAGCTTGCCAGTGCTGCTCTGATTTAGATTTTGCATTTCTGCTGTGGCTTGCCAGAAGCAACATCTTTTTTTCACTGGAGTGTTCTGTTGCTGCAAACTTTATGAGAGATTTTGGGTTCAGTTGCTGAAGTTCCTGTTTCTGGAAGCATCTTTTCAGCCACTGACTGGTGTCAGAGACATTTCCACCCCTTGGATGCTGATGCAGCTCCATGGCTGAATTCTGGCTAGACTTCTGACTCCAGAGAAGGTTTGTTGGTCTGTGGCAATACTTGGAGGTTGTTCTATTATGAAATAATACTTGATTAGTGTTTATTTTTGTAAATTGAAGAGAAATGCGACTTAATTTATCTACTCCCAGCCCTCACATTTGATATGTCTCCCCTCTCACCCCCCTGCCCTGATCACTTCAGAATTCTGAAGAGCCTTCACAGTGTGTGGAGTGACTTTTTCGTGGCATACCTGTTATTTTTGTAACTCAGATGGCTTGGAAAGGATTTATGGCTAGAATTGTGTACTGTACAGGAAACTTATTTTATCAATAAAGCTGACTGAAAACACAGATGTTTCCATGATTAAAGCAAGGCTGGAAGGGAAGGAATGTGGTGGAGAAGTTTCCACATCACACTTGTTTACCAGCCCTTTCCACACTGTTGGTCAGGAAGGAGCATCAAGGTCCAAAAGTGGCACCAGAAACCAAAAGTGAAAGAACAAGGAGATGCAGCAGGAACAACATTCAGCTGGAGGTGTCCAAAGGCCACCTTCTCTCAGCCTTTCTTCATTAACCAACTGTTAAGGAAACACTCAGTGCAACTTTTCAGTCTTGGAAGGAAAAAAGCACAGCTTGAGTATTGTAGGAGGCAGCTGCTGTTTGGCTCGCCAGGAATTCACTGAGTAGCACATGATGAGTCATTTAAAAAATTCTTTTCAGTGTTCCTGAGCTTTTCTGCTTCCCGCACGTGGTTTTTGTTCCCCCTCAGCATTCAGGATTTTAAAAAAACAATCCAGCTCATTTTAAGCCCATTAGATAATGTTGTTGCACCAGATAACATGGAAAAATTGCTACAGGTGCTTTTGTGAAAAGCCAGTTCTGAGCAGGCAGGGAAGTTTTACATGACCTTGTGCTCCTACCACTCCCTCTCACCCCCAAAACGAGCTCCTTTGTTGCTCTGCTCTGGAATTCTCTTCTTCCCAGCATGGAAGGACAAAGCCTTGCTGCCTCCCCCAGAGCCAGCTGGGTGCCTGGAGCTGTGGACTGGAGCAGGCAGGGCCTGAGAGCAGGAAAACAAGTGTTAGAAACACTGAGCACCTGTTGGACAAACAAAAGTGTTACTGGAGCTGTTGTTCCTAGAGGAAACTCTAACACCAAACCTGCTAATCCAAGCAGTGGGAAGGGACAACCACCAGATGTGTACTGGCAACATTCCAAAGAACAGGATCGTTTCTTTGTTCTCTAGAACCTGGTCTGGCAAAGCCATCCCAAAAAAGGTTCCTTGGGTCATGCACTTCCTCAGTGGCTTCCCAGAGAACATTCCACACTCCAGCCTCTGGGTGTCACTGCAGCCATAGATCTATAGGACAGGTCAGCCCAGCTCCCCCACCTCACCCCTTGGGAAGACTAAATTTTTCCAAGCAAACTATCCATACAAGATCCAAGGCAGAGGCTCAGCTGTAAAACCATCACTGGATTCAGAGAGCGCCCTTCAGTTCCACCATTCTTTCCAAAAGACATCTTTATTATAAAAGACATAGAAAATTCGAGTTAGGCTTGTTTCTTGCATGACGTTAATCACAGCAATTATAAAAACCCCACCATGGTAAACACGGTTAAGAGCATTTCTAGACCACAAGTGTTTGCTCCTTGCCATCATCCAGGGCAGGGACTGCTCAGGATCAGTCAGTGAGACCCAGGGAAGAGCACCTCCTTTATCCCGCACAACAGCACAGGGAAACAAGCCCCAAACTGCAGGATTTCAGCCTTGCTTTGCTGTTCCAGCTCCAAGCAACCACGGGATTTGTCTCCCTAAACTTCAGGAGAGTTCAGTCACCTCAGACACTGTGTCACTGAGCTTTCACTCCTTGAAGAAAAGTCATGTTAAAGTCATTAATTGCCAGCCTTTTATTGCCAGGGTGTTTTAACTTCCAACTAAGCTCCCAGAGAAACCAGTTTCCTTAGGAAGAGTTGTTTCTCACTTACTCACTACCAAAATTTAAAGCAGGGGCTGAGAACTTCAGCTTCCACCACTGGGGAATGTCCTCGTGGAGGTTCCATAAAGGAAGGACTGTGCACTTGGCTGCCCTTGCTAAAGGCTCAAAACCAGGGAGAAGGAAGAGTCACTATAACCTGTATCAGGATACAGGATGCAACACTTCAACCACCTTTGGTTTTGGTTTTTAGGAAGGGAATAAAGCCACCACACGAGATCCCAATCCTCCACTGGACACAAGAGTGGTCCCTCATCTGCTTTTATCCCACATTCTGCTTTGGGCAGAAGCAATTCCAATAGGTAAGGAATACATTCAGTCAGCAGAGATCCTGGTCAGTATTTTGCTGGCTGAATGCTGTTTTCACATCCCTGACAGGCAAAATTAAAAGATGATTAAAAATAAACATTAGTGTTTCAGCCAACTCCAGGGAAAAAAATTGCCACTGGCTACGAAGAGCTTACTTGGTTTTTTTCTTTTATAACAGCACCTTCAAAGGAAGAGATCATACCAGAGCAGAGACAAGACACAGGCTGTTCAGAAAGCAAACGGGGAGACAAACTTCTCGTGTTCTCTTGGCAATCACCTCTGCACACAGAGCAGATGACCAGCTTGCTACAGAACCACCCAAAGGAGGGAGAGTCTTCTCATCCCAGGTCAGGTCCACATCCCGAGCCCTGGAGTGCACACGGACAACAGTTCATTCAGTGCAGTTTAAACTCAAGTCTCTTGGTCCAGCCTGCAAGGCTCAGGAACTCTGCTGGGAATGGCTGTGCCTGCAGCCACACATTCTGTACCTGTACGAGGTGATGCTGCAGCTCCTGCTGGAACTCCTGGGTATGTCCTTGTCTCTGCCCTGGCAGCTGGACACACTCAGGAGTGACCCAGGCAGTACCTTAGCAGTGATTCCCACACACAAGGGAACAGCCAGGATGGTCCAGGTTGCTTTCCCAAGGGCTGTTTGACACTCCCCACACCCAAAGAGCAACCTAGACCACCCTGAGATGAACCCCGAGGACAAGGCCCTGCAGCTGGACACGAGCACGTTACAGTTGAGCTACAGAGGGCATGTAGTGTGTACTGACAGGAACTGCTCCTGCTGGGCAAACCTCTCAATCAGCAGGACAAAGGAGCAGTGGTAAACCCTGCACCACTGCCTGGTTTGCTGGGAATCATCTTGCCATTCCAAGGTCCTTCCTCTCTGTTCCCACCAGTCGTGCCACGTTACAGAAGCAGTGGAGTTCTCTCCCCGGCCGGCTGGTCTTTCTGAAAGAACTCTTTGATGTGCAGCAGCTTGTTGTGGATCCTCTCTCTCAGGGGAGGGATGTGATGGCTGGGGTCCAGGATATTGGTGCTCCTACGCTCCCTTTCCCGCTTCCAGGTGAGATAGGGGTGTGGTGGGAAGGGCACCTCACTCCTCTCCCGACGCAGCTGCACAGTCACCCCACTGAGGGCCAGCATTGCCCACACTGACAGGATAATCAGGTCTGGAAAAAAGGAAAACAGATTCCTGCACCACAGCCGAACATTCCTTCCTTTCCCACGCACAAACACTGAACAAGTTCAGTGACAGAAATGACATCTTGTCTCCACATACCCACATGTTCTCTTTCCACCCCTTCCTGCCCTCGCTCCCTGTTCACAACAGAAGCAGAGTCAGTGATTCCTCTTTAAAAAGAGAGAGAAGTCCCAGGAGGACTCACCGTTCCTCTGGAAAGGCACATTGGTGTAAGCTCTGTTGAAGTAGTCGTTGAGGACCCTTCGGAGCAGGTCCAAGGTGATGTAGGCAAGGCTTGTGTAGACATAACAAGCAATTGCAAGGACTACTGTGTAAGAGCCCACTATTCCAGAAGCCAGGATGTTCAGCTGGAAGGGAGACAAACCACAGCTTTAGGAGACTGAGAAACACTCTTTATTCCCCATGACAGTAGAATCAAGGAATCACAGGATGGTTTGTGTTGGAAGGGACTTTAAAGACCATCCAGTTCCAACCCCCTGCCATGGGTAGGGACACCTTCCACTGGACCACGTTGCTCAGAGCCCCATCCAACTGGCCTTGGACACTTCCAGGGATGGGGCAGCCACAGCTTCTCTGGGCAACTATTTTGTATTATCAGTTCTTCTGTGAGGAATTGGCTGCTCACACCTCTCCAGCAATCCTGTTAAGACAGAACCCAACTAAATGAGGTGCTGGGGGATGCTGTGGACAACATTCCTTGGCTTAGGGACCATTTAGCACAAGTGGAGCTGAACAGGAACTGCCTGAAACTGGTCCTGTGCTGAGTTCCTTGAAGCTGTTAAGTTTTCAACACATATCCCACAAGATGACACAATCTGACACCCCTTCCTCCCTCTCTCCTCCTGAGGTGAGGGCACAGAGTACTCACAATTCTTGGGCAGCCAACAAAAAGCACTGGAACCATCAAGGCCACAGAAGTGAAGGTCACCCAGAACACCACATCATCACGGAACACCCTGTAGTCTCCTGCAAAGACACCACATTTACCAGTTAGTGAAACATTTCCTTTATTGCAAGTGGTTGGGGGTGAGCTTTTTTACCCCAAAATTCTGTACATTAAGAAATACCTGGAGTTTCAACAATACATTGTTGGAAAGCTCAGCTTTTGAGCTCAAATGCTGACTGCTTAATATAGACTGGAACAGTTAGACAAGAACAAGAACAGTTAGGCTGCCCCAGCTGAGCACAGTCTCTGTGCTCTGGGTTGGGACAGCAGATCTTGTCCTGAACCAAACATTTTTGATGAGGTCCATGTTACTCATCTGGTAAGAAAGAAAAGTACCAGGGAGCTGTTGCCCCTGAGTTTAGGGGTTAGAAGCCTGTATGGGTTTCTGAGCTAAAACCTGCATCTATTTAGGTTTTACTCCAGAGTATGGTGCAAGGGCCACCATCACAACACAAAGCAACAAATTCTTCTGGCTTTTGTGTCTTTTAAAGTCTTTTTAAAGGCCCTGATGACATCAGTATTTCAGTGCTTACCTAGAGGAGTGAAGAAGAGCATGGACACAAAGAGAAATCCCAGCACGAGTCCAACAACAAACATGCAGAGCAGGACAGAGCCAAATCTCCACCAGCTCCCAGCCAAGAGCAGCCCCCCAACAATTCCAGCCACTGCCGTCAAAATGAGACGCACTGGGAGAGAAAAGAGGGAATTCCCACACTCTGAGAACTTCAGCAGCTTTACTTACACTCTTGTTTGGCTTTTTGCAACATGTATCAAAAAATAAACATAAAATAAGTAAAAAATAACTAATTCTTGCTACTAGAGTGAGTGCAGACCTTCTACTTCCATTTTACAGCTGAAATCTGTGTTTGATCTGAAACACAGGTCTACCCATTGCAAAAGAAGTAGGAGGAAGTCTGTTCCAAAACCTGTATCTTCCTTGGATAAATAAAATTTGTGTTCTAGAGTTGCAGCTTTTAACTCTGCATCACTTTGATACTGGAAGCAAAACACTCTGCTGCGTATTCAGCTATTGTGGTAGTTAGAGCTCAGCTCAAGACCTGAGGTATCACCCTCCCATCCTTCCTGATAAAACTGAGCTTTTACCTGAGGGATTCATAACAACAATCTTTTGGGAAGAGCCTCGGGTGTCCTGACACATCTACTCACCATCATAACCAAGGCCAGTGACCCTTGTGATGAACACAAAGAAGAAGAATGCTGAGACTATGAAGCCCATGAAGAACAAGTCTAGAGAGGAAGGAATAAGTATTTAGTGACTTTTTTTTTCTGGAAAGGGGTGTCCTCAAGCACTTCAAATAGCGAAAAATGACATATTTATATCTATATTGCCCAGCATGCACCCTAATTCTATGTTTCTGTTCTTTCCATACCAACTTACTCTGCTCAGATACTGTAAAATCAAAGCAAGGGACCTAACTGGCATGGAATCACCATCAACATCACCATTCTAAGTTACAAATTATATTCACAAAATTCCAATCAGACTTAGGAGATGAGAAAAAGCAAACATTCAGGACCTGTTTTCCAGAATCTGTGCCCAAAAAAGCAGGTGAAAAGACCAAGAACAGCAAAAGCAGTGAAGAACACTTTGGTAGAGAGTTTACCTAAAAGGAGAGAGAAAGGGTTACTACAGCATTGCACCCAGTAGTGCCAACAACTGGAGTAGTTCCAGATTGATTAAGAAATCCTTGTTACAGAAACTTCAGTCCTTGAATAATCAGTTAAGTGTCTGTAATTTGTTTATAACACAGATACATCTTTGGCTGAAAATTCTCTGCTCAGCTTTAGAAAAAAAAAAACAACTAACATTCAATCGTCTATAAAAATCCGTGCCATGGGATTAGTGCCCAGGCAGCAGCCACTGCCTTCTGCACTGCAGCCTCCCCATCATCTCCCTTGGAGAGATTTCCCATGCCACAAAAAGGATCATCAGCATACCAGCAGGGCTGACCTCTGTCTTCCAGGCAACAACTCTACTGGTATTTAAGCTATTTAAAGAAAGAAACCACATTTTCCATGTGGTCTGGGTTAGGGAAGAGAGGCTTAGCCTTAGTAATTTGTCTCATGGAGTTTGACAACAATTATTGGTGTTAGAGTATAAGAAAAAAAATTATTAGAACAAATCTTACTTTCTGAACCAAATTCTCACAATTTTCATGTCCCTTCTGCAAATCATAATGGGAGTGGCAGCTTTGCTCTGTTTCTGCTCAAATTCCATCATTTTATAACTTTGTAGTAATTTCACTATTGCTGACATTACCTTTATGCTTATTCTGTGACTCCCTCCTTTCAAAACACTTGCAGGTTACTGATTCCTGTCAGCACCAGTTAGAAAAATCAGGCTGGACCCTAATCTGGCTTGTGTTTTATTACTTCACCTTCACATCCAGCATCTACCATCCTACAAGGGATTTAAGATTATGTATCCAGTTCAAATGGGAAAAGCTGGAGCAGCACTACAGAGTAGCAAGTTGCTACTGTTAACCCCACATATTAAACCTCCATTAAGTTAAACCTTCAACTGCTAATTGTTCTCAGCCTTACTTTATCATTCCAGACTTTCTCCTCCATCAAGGAGCAAATTGACCATAAAGTAACAAAACACATGCAGTGTAATCTCACAGCACCATGACATAAATATCTAAGTTCATATCTACATGTTGGAGCACAACGAGCTCCAGGGGAGCTGGCACGGACATACAAATCCCAACTTACTGAGGGAAGAGCAGTTATCCACCAGGTCAGCAAAGCTGCAGGCATATGTGTGCACAGGGATGTAGGCAGCAGAAGTGTTCCAGAGGGGATCCCAAACTATGACATTGTAGATCACACCTTGCCCGGGAAGCGAGGAAAAGTAGATATTGGTCTTGTCATCAGTTGTCAGAGTGAGCATCTGGGGAAGTAAGGAATATTTGTATGGCATTTAAGACAGCACCACTGCCACGTGCCTGGCACAGCAGGCCTCAGACTGACCTTAATGCCATTGGCTTTGATACTCTGCACCTCAGACATCTTCCTGATGTGGCTCACGAGCACCATCTCAGACAGGTCGTTCTCAGGCAGGAAGTACTGGTAGACATCATAGCGCAGCCGCCACCGCGAGCTCTGCCCTGTCCCCGAGTCACAGGACGGGGGGTTTGCTCCCCTGCAACCACAAGCACATCAGTCACGGGCCCAGCCATGATCCCAGGCAGCATTCAGGAAATAATGGCTTTGAACTTGGAAGTCTCAAGTTAAACAAACCTCTGGGTCCTTATCGTGCCTCAGTCCCCGTAAAGAAATAAAACTGCCTGTAACCCAGAATTGCTCCTCAGTCATTATGAGGAATGGGGAAGTCCAGTATTTGCTGGCTGCTTACACTTCTGAAGTTGCACCACCTCTCCTGCAAGATGCAACTCTCAACTTTTATCTCCCTCACGTCTAACCTCTCCCCCTCCCCCCTTTCGCCATGTACATTTGTTCCAGTAAACAAGATTCCTGGATGGTTCAGCCATCTGGGCAGAACCCTGTTTCAGCACCCTGGCCAAATACAGCACAAAAGGTGTTGCTGAGCACTCTCAAGTTCTTCCACACACCTGGTATATCCTAAGTTTGCAGGGGCAAACTTGATGTGTATATCAACCAATGTATAGTCCAGGTAAAGATTTGGATCCACTTCCAAGTCAAACTCTAGATTGCAGCCTCCAGGAATGGGATCTAGAACACAGAAAAGGTAACTGTAGTTAAGCACTTGCGGGCACAGAAAATGGTCAGGTTCTGGGCCTGCAGCACCTCTCCTGTGAAGACAGGCTGACAGAGTCAGAGTTGTTCAGCTGCGAGAAGGAAAGGGGGGCCTACAATAAAGCTGGAGTGACAGGACAAGAGGGAATGGCTTCACAATGACAGAGAGCAGGTTTAGATTGGATATTTTGAAGAAATTCTTCTCTGTGAGGGTGGGGAGGCCCTGGCACAGGTTGCCCAGAGAAGCTGTGGCTGCCCCATCCCTGGAAGTGTTCCAGGCCAGGTTGGATGGGGCTCTGAGCAACCTGGGCTAGTGGAAGGTGTCCCTGCCCATGGCAAGGGTGTTGGAATGAGATGATCTTTAGGGTCCCTTCCCACCCAAACAAACCTGTGATTCCAGGACATGCACAACAGTTTTTTACTCTAAGGCTGCAGTCATGGCAAAACCACAGACCATCCTACCCACAACTCACAGCTCAGCAGTGACAATAAACCTTTTCAGCCCATTTCAAAAGAACTTCTGGCATCTCCATCAAATTTCCACCACAGAAGACTATCACCTCTGAAAGGTCAGCATCCCTTCCCAGGGAACGAGAACATACCTTTCTCCATGTAGGGAATGGAGATGGCTGTGCTGAGCACCTGCCCAGCATCCAGTGCCCGCAGGTACCACGTGCACACGGTCTGCTGAGGCCGGAGGATGGACACCAACCCTCTGTCCACTCCAACTCCTGAGCTGTTCACAGATGGAGTCTGGGCAGAAAGAAATTACATAAACAAGTAGTTCTCCTGGAGAGGATTTCTGCCACAGTTTGATGTATGACAGGAGGCCATTCTTGCCACAGACCTGCCAGGCACATGTCAGTGCCAGTTGCCACAGATGAGGCTCCACCTGGTTAAAGTCTGGCTACGGATTGAGTAGAAGTGTAACAGGACTGGAATATCCCTCACAAAATGTGAGATGGCACCAAGGAAGCATTCTGGGAACCAATGTACAGCAGCACCTCACTATCTCCCCCAGAAGGGAGATGACTGGCTTAACACCAGCCATGCCAGGTGTGTTTGGGGCCAGGTCAGCTACTGCCCCCATCACCCATCCCTTCCAGAACCAGGACTCTGCAGGAGAGATCAGGCAACAATGGCAAAGTCACACTCACATGGCTGGAACCAACTGACCTACAGGCAAATCTGTTCTTCAGAATGCAAAGTTTGCTTTTGTCCAAGACAGCCACAGCTACCTGAGGCAACACTGTAAGGAAGCACTTTGTTCCTGGCAGACTTCAAGGTCTGGCTCAACTTCATGTTTCTAGAGGCAGACCAGCCCTAAAAGCAGTACAGATGTATTTATGCATCACTGCCCTTGGCCTGTGGATCTGAACTGGCAGCAGAAGGTTCTACTAGAGGCAAGCAAAGACTGATCAGGGGTCCCAGTAATGCCTCAGCCCCGTGATCCTGGCCCTTCCACCAGTACAAAGATGGTTGAGCTGGGGGACTTGTGATACAGGTCGTTCATCTTTTAAGCTTCCCAGGATTCTTCTTGGCACTCAGTACCTTCTCAAGTGGAAGATACTGATGGAGAGAGAAAAACTGGATGACAGCTGTCAGATCTCCATCTACCACCTTCAGCTCAGTGAATGCTCTGTTCAAACACTAGCCAGAGCCTCACAACACCATAACAACAACAAAATCATATTTTACATCAGCCTCAGTCTGTCCCATCATTGCTGGGATGCAGTGCACAGCAGCAGGAATACTTATATTGTTATCTAGAAGTAGCAGCCTTCACTGGAGCACTGCGAAGGAACTTCTCTATGTGTCAAAGGAGAATTAGATCCAGGACAAGGAGCCGAGATAGGAAGACATCACATCTGTAGTGGCCAGATCCAAGCCACACAAACAGCAGACGACTAAACATCCCCAAGTGATCATGTCCAAGGCATCTGGCAAACACTTGAATGGATCTGGTTTTAATCTGACAAGAGTAGTAAGAAGGCACATGTAAAAAGCACCACTTCCACCAAATAAAGAGCTTTGAAACATTTTTAAGCCAGCTCTGAAATTCCTTTATCAGTCAGTCCTTCAAAACAGCAGCTATGACATGTGAGTACAACGAAGGATTTCTGAAGCTACAGCAACACTGCCCAGGTAAGATACATTATTTACACAGCTTCAGCTCAACAGTCCTACAGGTATCAGAGCCAATTCCTTTGTGGAAGGAAAAGCAGCGCTTAGGAGCAGAAGAGCCACTCTTACCTTATCAAAGGATATCACCACATCACTCTGCTGGGCATGCACTTGAAAAACAACAACAGTCACATTGCTGCCGATGTTCCTGATCACAGCTTCCACTGGGCTGGTCTGGTTAAGGAGTACATTCCTGAATTTTCCCAAGGAGAGCTCAAGAAGACCTGCTTTACAAAAAAAAGGAAAACACTTGGATGGTTTTTTTTTGTCCAGAGCAAAGCCTGGGAGCAGGGCAGGATGTTGCTTTGTGCTCCTCTTGCCCTGTAAGCTGTCCCAAGGTTTCTGGGATGCACCTACAGGAACAGGCACAGCCAGGGAACCTGCCCTAAGGGCCTCACCTAAACACATGGGCATTCCTGCCAGGAGCTCAGGATTCGATACTGAGCTCACCAGCTGCAGCCAACTAGCCAGTAACACTCCAAAGAGACAACAAGGAAGGATACTGAGGACTGATCTTTGGGAAATGCAAGTGTGTCCATATTAGCCAGCAAACTTGCACAATATCCATTAGACCTCCTGGTGAATTCCCACAGCCCATGGGAATTGGAGTCCACTTCCACAACACAGAGTCAAAGCTGTAGCTTAAAGATGTACCCTTACCCACCTTCAGCTATTTCACAAGTTTTTTGCTCCCAGTTATTTGTCATCATTAGGATTGTTGGATCCCGACTTCTGCATCTAAAAATCTGGCTAATTTTTCCTACACACACCCCAGACCATTTCTCCCTACGATGAGCACAACCTCGTGATCCACTGCCATTTTAACTTGAAAAGAACCACATGACCCAGGATAGAAGACCTCTGAGAATCAGCTTTGGCTTGTCCTTCAAGTCCTGCAAGCAAGCCGGGCTTCTCCCCGTGCTGGGCTCTGGAGGGACAGGGGATGCCAAGGAAGGAAAAAGATGCAGCCACACAGAATCCACAAGGTTCTCTGGCTGGTCGTTGGCATCCTTGGTCAGCTTCTTGGCCTCTTGATGATATGTCAGAAGGGAGCTCCAACCCTCATCTCACAGTGAAGGAAGAAATTTCAGCCCTTACATGCTCACTCCTAACATTCAGTTAATACCAGTGCTGCATCACCAATAAAACCTCAGCTGAAATATGGGGATCATAAACCATCTGTGAGGCAAAAAAATCTCTGTTCTTCTGTTCCGTCATCTGCAGTTGTGTTAAGGTAGAAAACATTTTTATGTCAGGTTTTCAAACAGTAATTAATGTAAAATTAAAGCTACAAATAGAGCTTTGTGTATTCTTCACTTCCTGATTCTCAGCATTCAGATACCTTCCCCTTCACCAGATCTCTTTCCCCATCAGCTCAAGTCCTACCAGAAAGGCAACCAGCAGCATGACTGCTAAAGAAAAGCACTCACAAGGCACCAAATATGCATCTACATGCTCAGAAATTTGAAGTGAAAGCTCAGAACGCAGGGAAAACATCTTTCTTTGATCTCTCAGAACTTCAGCAGTTTCCTGAACCGCAAGATGTTCATGCTTAGATGTCTTTCAAAGAAAACAAAGCTGAAACCATACATATCCTCTCTGTGATCTACATCAAGGGCAGCGAGCTGCATTGCTCTGCCTTGTTCCTCACCTCCACTCCGTGCTCATACTCAGAGGCCCCTACATAAATAAGGGCAGATTCGTCAGCAACACACACAGCCACTGCTTCAATGTGATCATGAGACTCTGAGTGTCAGCACACTGTCTCAAGTTTAATTAGCGTGTTAATTAAGGTATGGTGCTCTACATTGCTTTACTGTTTGCATAAGTGCTCCTGGAGCAGTGCATGTGATACACATTTCATCCCTATGTCTGGGCAGAAGAGCAGGAACAGCTCCACCCATCAGACAAGTATTTTGCATCCAACCTTCTCCTCTGGGCAAGCTGGACCCTCCTGGAGGTAGCCCACCAAACAGGACCAGCAGCACCAATAACACCACCCCACACAGATGCACTTGGCCCATCAAGTCAGCAACAAAACCAGGAGCAAAATCCAGGCATCCCAACATTTTTTATTGCTTCCAACAGCAAAGGTCTGGAAGCACTCCAAGATGCCAGGCTGCCTCTCCTTCCTTGCCTTTAGGGAGAACTGTAACGGTCAGAACAGCTTTGGATGAGACACAAGAGAGGAACCCCCAGTGTCACAGAGCTTATCAGGTGAACACACACCCAGAGGAAGTCAGAGTTACTGACACTGAGCACAGATGGAGCACTGAGTAAGTACTACTCCTTATAGCAATGCCAGCATGGATCTGGGGCACAGACAGTCCTGCATATGGAGCTGGCGGACACAGGCAAACAGGCCACTGTCACTCCATATTGGAGCTTTTCTGTCACATGAAGGACAAAACCAGTACAGACAGCAAAGAAATTGAACCTTTTGGGCTCTTCTGAGATCAAAAGCCGTTATTCCTAACTCCAAGCAACACTGGAATCAACTCCAGAGTACCAGCTCTTGTTATCCCTGTGACACACACTTTCCCCAACAGGCAACACCCAGCTGGAACCATTTCCATCATGCTGATTCAGCGCCAGGCTCTCAGTTCCTTCCATGCTTTGAGTAAAACACATTCCCAGCTCCAACAGCCAAGTGCCATTCCCCACCAGCACTAAGTGTTACCCACACAGGTTCTGGATAAGAAACACAACTGAAGAAATGCCATTGCTTCCCACACAGCGACAGTCTTCACCTACAGAGCCACACTCAAACACTATGCTTCCCTCAGACAAAGAGGTTCTCTGCAGTCAGAGAAGATACCCTGACAACCACCTTGCACTGGATATGCAGAATAACCTTCTTTAAGTGAGCTGGGAGAGTTAGGGAGCACCTCCCAGTGTAGAGAGTGCATCAGCAAGTAGTCACATGGAGATACTTAATGAAGATGAGATGCAAGCTCAGACTGGAAACCAGCTTGAGTAAAGAAAACATCAGCATACAGTTACTTCACAGAACGAAGCCAGGAGCCACATCCTATCACACCTGCAAGGCCATGCACACAGGGATGCACAGGACAGTCCTGCTATAAGGTCTCTTGTCTTCCCACACCAGTGAATTCCCCCAAAAAAGACAGCACCCACCCTGCCCCCAAAAGAAGCAAGAAGACTTATGAAAACTCCTAAACTTTAACTGTATGTGTACTGAGACTCAGGCTTAGAGCAGTTTGATGTTTAAAGCAAATGATACCACAGAGTGTGGCTTGTCATCATCATCATGATTCCCATCCCAGAAGACTATTCTGTTCACCAAGCTGGAGGTCTTCACAGCCTGAAAAGTGAGGGCAGAGCTTTGTGTAAACCTCTTATTTTAAAATACTGTCTCTGCATAGACTAAACAGCCAGCACAAACAAGTTCCACCCAGATAAGCTCCCTTCACAAAAGAGGGCATCGCTCAGTCCCGGTTACACTGTGAATTCACTTTAGTTTTTCCCACACTAAACAATCCAGTTTGGATGTAACAAAGAGGTGGAGTTCCCTGGAAGGTAACAAACAGGATATATCAACCATTTCTGCACAAACAATAAACTTGGAGAGCTGCAGCCCACCAGAACCCCAGAGAGGTAACATAGGCCATCCTGCACAGATTTTACTTATCAGCACTTTTCAAATGAAGCAGGATCTTCTAGTATTAGGAGAGCCCATCCCTGCAGACTGGGTGTCCACAACTAAATAACCACAAGACAATTTCAAATCAGTGAACCATTAAACAATGTGTCCTTGTTTCAAGGGCCTAATGATCAGTTAGACATTGGCACACAAATTACACAGTTTATTAGCTTTCCACGAGGGAAATACTTGCCCTCTCCACCTTCAATCCTGCAAGGAAATACAGCAACAGGCAAAGCAGTTCACTTAGTCCCACAGTTGTTTTGCATTTTACATACTGTAAAAAAATTACTCAACACGTGACCCATTTTCAATCAAGTGCAGGAGACAGAGTGTTTGTCAGCATCTTTTAATATAAATATTAAGGTCTAAGAACCCTGAGCCTTCATCCTCACACCAGCTTTTAAGGCCTGTGAGAAGCAGGGAATCCTTGGCTCTGGACTAAGATCTTGGGTTGAGACTGGGGGGTTCTCTGCCGAGAGAAGCCTTCCACACGTGGGAGTGGTTCCAAACGCTGTCCTGAAGCTTTACAAAGTATCCCAAGAGTCTCCTTTGGCACAATAAAGCTTCATTCACTCAAGGCCAGGTTGGATGGGGCATTGACCTACCGGGAAGTGTCCCTGCCCATGAGAGGGGGTTGGAATGAGATGATCTTTAAGGTGCCACACCATTCTATGATTAGAAGCAAGTTCAAATATATAGCAAAAATAAGAGGAGGAAGCTTATATCAGCCCTAATGTGAGGGACTGCCTGCTTATCTCTGAATTATCTCTGAGAGGAAACTGTTTATTTTTTCCTTTATTTGAACAGATAATAGTTTAACCAGAAATAAGTAAGCAACTGTTAAGTCTTCCCAAACAATAATTACAGTGCACTTAATTGCGGACTCCTATTTTCGTCACAAGCAGAAATGCAGGGAAATTACCAAAAAAAAAAAAAAAGCCCATGCCAAATAAAATCAGATTAGATCAGCACAAGAAGTAACTTTAGGAAACAAGCTGCAAATTGTAGGAGGTCTAACTCATTTCCTTACCTTTCACAATGACAGTGGTTTGCAACCCACCATTCACTGGGTGGTGGGAACTCATGACCACCTGTACATGGTCAAAACCAACAAACCAACAAACCAACCAATACGCCTCGAACACTTTTTAAGCTTATTCCCTTACACACTCATATTCACGGGTACTGAACGCCACCTTGTTCCTGTAGGAGGGACACAGCCCTGCACCAGACCCATCACCTGCACCGCATCCCTGCAACGGCATCGCTAAAATTATTCCTTTTTATCCACTAAGAGTGAAAATTATGGCGTTCACAGCAACTAAGCTGTAAAACTAAAAAAAAGGGGGGGGGGGAAGAAAGGGAGAGGGTTGTTCTCACTTTCCCCGCGGAAGATGAAGATAACGAAGAATACCCACTGCGCTTCCCCAGCTCCGCAGGCAGCGCTGATCCCTCCGGACAGCTGCGGGTCGCCCCACCACGACCTGGGACACCCCCAAAAGGCTCTGCACTCGCAACAATCCCTTTCCCCTCCATCCCGCTGGGCATTAACCCGGGAACAACCTCCCTGCTCCCGGTACCAGCCGGGGCTCCAGCGGCCGCTTAATGGCGGCCACAGCCCGGCCAGCCCCCGCGCCTCTCGCCGCCCTCACCTGAGGCACCGCCATGGCGCAGCACCCCCAGCAGCACCAGGAGCAGCGCGGAACGAGGACAGACCCGCATGGCGCTGCGGAGGGAAAGGGAACAGGGGATATGAAGCTGGGAAAGGGCCGCAGCGCTGAGCGGGGCTGGAGCGGGGCGGGCGCTGTGGGGCGGTGCGTAGGCGGGACCGCCCCGCCGGGGCCGCTCGGCCCTCTCAGCCACCTGCGTGAGGGGTGCGGCAAAGAACCCTTCGATTTCAGGAATAGTTGTACAATGTTTTAATAATACACGTTAGGTTTTGGGTCCGCCGGCTTGTGGCTTGGCTTCTTAGCTCAGGAGCACGAAGGAACCCCCCCGTCTCAGTTTACACACGCAGGCAAATAAAATCCTTACTCCAACTGTGCCATTGGGAAAACACTTGGGGCAGATTGTTTTGTATCGTGGCTGCACCCACAGCATCACTGACAGGGCTGAAGAGGGAATTTTCACAAGGACATGTAGTGACAGGACATGGGGAATGGCTTCAAACTGACAGACAGCAGGTTTAGATTGGATATTAGGGAGAAATTCTTCCCTGGGAGGGTGGGGAGGCCCTGGCACAGGTTGCCCAGAGAAGCTGCGGCTGCCCCATCCCTGGGAATGTTCCAGGCCAGGTTGGATGGGGCTCTGAGCAACCTGGGCTAGTGGAAGGTGTCCCTGCCCATGGCAGAGGGTTGGAATGAGATGGTCTTCAAGGTCCCTTCCAACCCAAACTATTCTGTGATTTTAAGAAAGAGGAAACTCCTGGAGGTCTCCAGCCCAGCTGGTCCCTCAAAGCTGGCCTATGGCCGACACTAGATCAGGTCAACCACCATTTTGCCTCCCCTTGCCTACAAATTCCCAAGAGCATGGAGCCCACAGCCTCTCTGGGTGTCCTGTATTGCACATCTTGATTTAGGAAGCCCCAAATATTTTCTAACTTTCAGCCTGGCCCTCCGCATGCTGCCAGCTGTGAAACACCCCTGGTAGTCAGGGGAGATAACCTGTGGGAAGGCTGGCATTGTGCCCAGATGTCAGAGATAAGAAGGAAGGGGTTTAAGTGCTGAATGACCATCAGTTCATTCCCGGGCAGTACTGACTGGCACATGTGGCATTTATTCTCCAACCCTTGGGCACAGAGGCCAGGTGGTGGCTCTAAGCTGTCTCCCTGGGGATACCACACTCTGGCTTTTCCCTGATGGATGTGATTCCTGCTCATTTTGGGGCTGGAGTGGGGCACCCAAGCGCTGTTGCTGCTTTTAGCCGGGGCCAGAGTGACTGCTGTACAGCAAAAGCTGCCCCTGCTGTGGCATGCCAGCTTTCTAGTGCCGGTAACAGGACCACAGGATCAATTAGGTTGGAAAAACCCTCTGAGATCATCGAGTCCAACCTTTGACTAAACACCATCATCTTGTCAACCAGATCACAGTACTGAGTGCTGTGTCCAGCCTTTCCTTAAAAACCTCCAGGGATGGCGACTCCACCATCCATTCCAGTGTTTAATCACCCTTTCTATGAAGAAATTCCTCCTGATGTCCAATCTAAACCTCCTCTGGTGCAGCTTGAGGCCATTTCTCCTTGTCCTGTCATTTTCTACCTGGGAGCAAAGCCTGACCCCCATCTGGATATACATCCTCCTGTCAGGGAGTCGCAGAGAGCCATGAAGCTGGAGAGTTGGGCTGATTCCAATGGGATGAGGTTCAACAAGGCCGAGTGCCGGGTCCTGCACTTTGACCACAACAACCCCCTGCAGCAATACAGGCTGGAGACAGAGTGGCTGGAGAGCAGCCAGGCAGAAAGGGACCTGGGAGTTTGGATTGACAGGAAGCTGAACATGAGCCAGAGTGTGCCCAGGTGGCCAAGAAGGTCAATGGCATCCTGGCCTGGATCAGAAACGGTGTGGCAGCAGAACCAGGGAAGTGATTCTTCCCCTGGACTCAGCACTAGTGAGGCCACCCCTGGAGTGCTGTGTCCAGTTCTGGGCCCTCAGCTCAGGAAGGACATGGAGGGGCTGGAGCAGGTCTGGAGAAGAGCAACGAGGCTGGGGAAGGAACTGGAGCACAAGTGCTGTGAGGAGAGGCTGAGGGAGCTGGGGCTGTTCAGCCTGGAGAAGAGGAGGCTCAGGGGAGACCTCCTCACTCTCTACAACTCCCTGACAGGAAGGGGGACCCAGGTGGGGGTTGGTCTCTTCTCCCAAACAGCTATCAGTAAGACAAGAGGACATGGTCTTAAGCTCTGCCAGGGGAGGTTTAGATTAGATGTTAGGAAGAAATTTTTTCCAGAGAGGGTAATCAGGCATTGGAATGGGCTGCCCAGGGAAGTGGTGGATTCTCCGTCCCTGGAGGTTTTTAAGATGAGACTGGATGTGGCACTTAGTGCCATGGTCTGGTAACCGCGGTGGTAGTGGATCAAGGGTTGGACTTGATGATCTCGGATGTTTTTTCCAACCCGGCTGATTCTATCATTCTACGATCCTATGATAAGGTCCCCCCTTGAGCCTTGTTTCCCACTCAGCCGCGCCTCACAGGACGCACCGCAGGGATTTGGGATTCTTTTTTTTTTTTTTTACTCGAACGAAGGCGTTCCCGAGGGAAATCCCCGGGCTGGGATGAGCGGTGCCCGCACACACAGTTCCTCCTCCGGGCGCAGGGGGCGCCGCGGCGGGCGGGGCGGGGCGGCCATGGCGGGGCGGCCATGGCGGACCGGCTGACGCAGCTGCAGGACGCGGTGAACTCGGTGAGGCGGCCGCGCTCTCCCCGCGCTCCCTCGGGGCTGCGCCGGGCGCTGGGGTGGGACGGGGTAATTAACGCGGTGCTAATTGCTGCCGGCAGCTCGCAGACCAGTTCTGTAACGCCATCGGAGTGCTGCAGCAATGCGGGCCCCCTGCCTCCTTCAGCAACATCCAGACCGCCATCAACAAGGACCAGCCCGCCAACCCTACGGAAGGCAAGTCTGGCTTGGGCATCGGGAGTGCAGAGCCCGGGCTCGGCCGACAATCAAGGCGGGAGCTGGGGGAGTGATGGAGGTTAAGTCGCTTGTTGCGTAAGATTGTGGCAGCAGAAATGCGGTTTTAAGAGCCAGCGAAGCATCACGATGTATTTCTTGTGCTGGTGTCTGTGCAGAGGCAGAGCAGCTCCACAGCTCTAAACTGCTTCAATACGACTGTGGAAACACGTTGTTAGCGAGCTGCCCATGACTTCCAAGAAGCCTTTTTAGAAAGGATTTCATAAAAGGATCTCATTAGTTCTGTTGAATCACGAATGAGGTTAAAATTCTCTATGTTATAAACCTTTAATTACTTGTGTTTGTCTGCGTATCATGGAATCATAGAAGGTTAAGGGTTGGAAGGGACCTTAAAGATCATCTCGTTCCAACCTGCCATGGGCAGGGACACCTTCCGGTAGACCAGTTTGCTCCAAGCCTCACCCAGCCTGGCCTTGGACACTTCCAGGGATGGGGTAGCCACAGAAATTAATTAAGGAATAATGTCATGTTGAATCTCCCCACTGGCATTTGTGGATTTATATTTACTATTTTTTTGGAGAGACTAGAAACTGATCTAAGGCACTGTCATGGTTTAACCCCAGCTGGCAACTAAAGACCAGGTAGCTGCTCTCTCATTTCCCCCTGTACCGAGGGGAGAAGAACTGGGTAAAAAGGGCAAAACGTGTGGGTTCAGGTAAGAACAGTTTAACAATGGAAGCAAAATAAAATGTAATCTCATACTGTACCACTGCTAAGAAGAACATTTACCCTGTCCCAGCCAAAATTAGAACAGGCACTGAAATTGGGAAGCAAACTAAAAGTTCTCTCTGATTCAAGAATTTCAAATAATGAATAACTGTGTTATTCTAGTCCTGGATATTTTTCCTTATTTTCTTTTTTTCCTCTTTTCTTTTTCTCAACAAGAAAATGTTACCTATATCTCAGATTAGGATTTTTCATTAGAACATCAGGGGAGACTGGTTTGGAGGTCTTTCTAGGACAGTTGAATTTTGAATTAGTTGGAAGAGCCAGCTGGAAGGCTTGTTTGCTTCCTTAAAACTCTTTACAGGTAAACCCAGTGGTGACCTTAAGTTTTAAATGGATGTATTGGTTTTGTTGTTGTTGGGAGCTTTTCTTAGGTTAAAGTCAAGTGTACCTTTGAGAATGTTAATCTCCTCTGTGGAATTTTGCCATTACAGTGTTTTCTCTCTTGCTTCCACAAATCATTCATGAACCAAGCACATAAAGAAATATATAAAGTCTTAAATTATAAATTGAAAAGGACTAATTCAATGTTTTAGCAGTAGTAGTGAACTGAATTCAAACTGAATGGACACAATTCCATATGGAAAAGTTTTGTTTCTGGCTTAAGGTACCTTTACTAACAATTCTTTCAGTGATATAGGAGCTAAATTAAGCTCTGTTATAAGCTTCCAGTTTTTTTCCACTTCTCAGGGGCAACTGAACTTTCTCAGTGGCAGAATAGGAATTCTTTTTTCTTTAGATTAAAAAATGTCAAATTCTTTCTCTAGTGATCGGTGTTTAATGTGATTTAAAATATCTGTTTGAATCACTGTCTTTGTTATTGTTCTTTTTTTTGGTAGTGGCAGATTTCAGGGCAGAGATTGAAAACTTAAATGAGTTTTGAGCTAATTCCCAGTACTTAGTGCAGTCACTAAAACAGTCAATACTGGTATTAGTGATTTCTTAACTGGCTGATGGTGATGGAGTTCTGGCTATTTTCTCATCTGCACAAAACCCAGCCCTCTGTATAACTAGTTACCTTGTTTAATATAGGATTGGAATGAAACTGCCTTCCTCTTCCCAAGGGAACCCACAAGGAAGATGGAGAGAGACTATTTCCAAGGGCCTGGAGTGACAGGACAAGGGGCAATGGCTTCAAACAGACAGGGAGCAGGTTTAGATGGGATATTAGGAAGAAATTCTTCCCTGGGAGGGTGGGGAGGCCCTGGCACAGGTTGCCCAGAGAAGCTGTGGCTGCCCCATCCCTGGAAGTGTCCAAGGCCAGGTTGGATGGGGCTCTGAGCAACCTGGGGATAGTGGAAGGTGTCCCTGCCCATGGCAGGGGGCCGGAACTGGATGATCTTTGAGGTCCCTTCCAGCCCAAATTCAAACCGCTCTGTGATTCCATGACTCCAATATGTTG